TAATTTTTGACTATCCAACAATACAACAAAATTGAAGTAATGTTGCTGACTTAACTGGTAATGGGAATGTATTAAGAGGTTTTTTTATACCTTTCTTGCAAGAAATTATGTTTAGCTTGAAAAATCTTTAATCAAATTGAATCTAGTGATTGATTATGCACTCTGATAGATTAAAGAGCTCCTCTCAAAAATATGTGATGGCAATCTCTGATCGTTACTAGCTTGTTAATAAATGTTTATGTTTGTTATTCAGTGGACTTCCAAGACGATCTCTCAATCCGTTCAAGAAACCGAAAATTTTATCCGATTTTGATGGAAACATAGAGAAGGATAATGATGCAACGGTTAGTGATGCATCTTCATCCTCCTCTACTGAGGTTATCTATTTGAAATTGCTTTCTTTTTAATCCATTGAAAATTTTGTCTTCGTTCATTTGTTCAGTCAGTCGTTTGAATATCCATTTATTTTATCTGATTCAATGCTGAGTGGAAGAAACTGTGTTAATATAAACTGCAATTGTTGTTTTCGAATCACATCTGTTTTCTTCTATTTTTATTTCATTATGATTTATTACTTTTACTTCATTGTGACGTTCGGTGAAGTGGAATATTCCTATGAATGTAAATTCATTTTCATCAATCAGTAAAAATTCCATGCGCCATGAACGAACCGAACACAGTTATGGCCAAACAGAATTCTTTTCAGAATTTTGATCAGAAATCGACCTCTGAATGCATCAACGCAATATCCTCATCGAATCCGATAAGCAGTGGTGATGCTGGTATGAAAGTTTTTGGTGATTCGATTTTTTTAACTCGGAAAAAANCCTCATCGAATCCGATAAGCAGTGGTGATGCTGGTATGAAAGTTTTTGGTGATTCGATTTTTTTAACTCGGAAAAAAACGGCGCAACATTTTCAGCAAACTGATTTCATTTTTGCTTCACTGGACTTTTAACATGATTTTCGATTTGATTCAAAAAAGAGTTGTTACTAGGGGAGAGAATCGCCTTGCCCATTACTGGTCATTCCTTCATTTATTTAATTTCGCATTCAACAAATCTGTCAGTTACTCCCAGCTACGATTTGATTTAACTTTCGTGTTCGACCAATGAAATTAGAGAAAATGAATTTTAAAAATCGCCAACCGTAAATTTGAAATTTGAATTCAGTTTACTCAATGATCAATTTTTAAAAGTGTGTGCTGTTTACCGGCATTTTTAGTTGCGACAACAACGACATCGTATCGTGTCTCAGGACTTTCGCGGTGTTCGTCAATGAAGGAAGGCAATTAGTTGCAGTTGGATGAGTGGCAGTTGACGTTGATTAGATGAGTGTTGCTCGTCTTTTTTTGTATTTATCGAGTTAATGAGTTCATTCCTGTTTTTTTTTTGTATTCATTAATGTCGTTTATCTGTTAGCATGATGCAGTTCA